GTGAGTAGTCACGAAAGCGCTTGGAATTTCATTATTCTTTCACAGTGGTTGTTTTGCATATATATATATATACACAAAACAAATTAATGATTCTCTACCAAAAGAACCTTAGGAAACCTGCCTAACCTTGTTATAACAAGTGCAATTTAATTTAGCCTAATCCAGCTAAATATATTTTATGTAAATTTACAATAATTTAATAATAAAGAAACACAATGAAATATTTTTTTTCCTTAGGTTCAGAATGATTTTTGCGAAATTACTACATACGCAAATTTTTGCTTGCCTTCTTCAGCAAGAAGTGTATTGCTATTTAAGCCAAAATCGCAAGTTTTACGTATTCAGTACGAATATATATATATATATATATATATAATAATATATATATATATATATATATATAATATATATATATATATATATATATATGTCGTGCCGAATATGTAAAACTGGTCAATTAGCAAGAACTCTTTTAAAATTAAGTCCTTTCTAAAATTTTCTCTTGTACGTTTAAAGATATATTTTTTTTCATTAATGTTTATGTAAAAAATTTTAATTTTGCACCAAAAGAATCTTAGAAAACTTACCTAACCTTATTATAACAAGAATAATTTGTTTTAGCCTAACCCAACTGAGTATATTTTAGATTTGTTTACAATAATTTAATATTAAACAAACACAGTGAAATATATTTTTTTCGTTAGATTCAGAATGATTTTGGCGAAATTATTGCATACACAAATTTTCACTTGTCCTATATGGCAAGATGAGCGTTGCTATTTAAGCCAAGATCGCAAGTTCTGCCTATTCGGCACGACATATATATATATATGTATATATATATATATTATATATATATATAAATATATATATATTATATATATATAAAATATATATATATATATATATATATATATATATATAAATATATATAATATATATATATATATATATATATATATATATATTATATATATATATATATGTATATAATATATTATATATATACATATATATATATATATATATATATAAATATATATATATATATATATATATATATTATATAATAAATATATATATATATATATATATATATATATATATATATATATATATATATATATATATATATATATATATATAATTAAAAATTGTTTGCCTTACATTAGTATTGAATATAAGAGTGTTTTACGGTATTTTTGTTACAAAAACAGCTGCGTAACTGTATTGCGTAATAATATAGTGGAGATGTGTTGTGTGATGTGAGTCATGGAGAACACACAGCCGCCCCAAAGGGCTTATTTATTGATCCTCTCCCCACCCAGCAGAATATCGACCCATTTCAACACAATAATCGATCCTACGAGGGAACAAAGCCATGGAGAGGCGCAGGCAGGCAGCCCTTACACAGCCACACACATTATTCCTACTGTACACTTTTAGAGCCCGCCTCTAAGAACGTTTCAAGATGGTTTGAACTTCTAAATTTTTTTTTCTTCCCGTGGGGTTAAAATGCCCGCCCTGAGCTGACCGTTACTACAACTTTTACTCACCTTCCCCCACCTATAACATAATGGACTCGCCCGCTCCATTCTCTCTTTCTTAGAACTATTTTTATGGGTGTACACCGTTATAGCGTTTTTAATATGAATATTACACTATTAAAATATTTTTAAATGAATAAGAGAGTGAATTAAAATAACACTAGCATAACTTCCAAAAGATGTATATATTGGAGCGAAATTATCCCAGGACACGATCGCCATATTTGAAAGGGCGCGAGCGGGAAGGTCCATCATTGGACAACGAGGCTTCGGTAACTCCGAATCTACTGCAACAATGTCCTTTTCCGTCTTGCTCAATCCTACGCCTACACGTGGCTGAAAGCTTAACGAGTTCATCCAAGTTGTCAAATCAAGCAAAGTCTCATTCATTACTTGGCAATCCCCGCCGAAATGCGGAAGTTTTTTACGGCAGGATAGTGGTTCGGTTGGAGGTAGTGGAAGGATAGACATTTAAACCTGCCTTCAATGTCACGTTTCCCTGGCAGCCAATCAGCGCGCGAGGCTCGTGCGACGTTGCCACGTGTGCACGTGGCGCACGAGAGCCAACGTGCCATCAAAACATTGTCACATGGCATGGCAGGCGCGTGTGTTTTGATGTTATAAGACTTTTTGTTCCCCACAGCCAGTGTAAATGTCACCCTAATACCCCCCACCATCACCAGCCGGGGTTCATCTATTATGCGCACCTACAATGGCTAGCACATATTTCGCGAAATGGACACAATGTTAATTCTTAATTTGCATATGAATGTTTCATGACCGTGGGATATGAATTGACTCATTTCTTTTTTCTTTGTTATCGCAAACATAAGAGTGTAAGTAGTATTATTGGTAAATAAACTCTGTGTAGTAAACAATAATTCCGCAGTGCACAGCTGCGGAAGCCAAATCTTATTCATTAAATCCATAAAAGTTACTGCCATGCATTGCTTCATAAATATAAATTATATAGCTTAGCTTCTTTGGTAAAATATGAATTTAAAAAAATCATTGTACAATAATTCATACTTGCTAAATATAATCGCCATGATTACACTCGCCTCGCTGTAAATTTAATAACAAATAATAAACCTTCCTTTTAAGAAGGTTCCTTGATGCCGGTGACAGGCTCTTGATCAAAAGAATTAGACTTGCTCTCAATTTCCTTGGATCAAACCTGATTGCCTCCCATTCCCCAGACTGTATTATCCCCCGCAATGTATATAACATGTATTTTTAGATGAATAGTGAAGTTAATCTTGATGAGAGCATGTGGGCAGGAGTGTGCAGCCGTTGCCAGAATTACTCCATTTGGGCTCTAGCTCCTCATCCCACTTTAATTTGTCACTGCCTCAAAATAGCTGAACCAAATCTATATTTGAACTGGAATGGCTTCCGCTTCCGCTGCAATATATAGCCGTGTGATTTGTGTTTAACGATGTGATGTGTTTAGACGTTTGGTTATACATATGTCGTGCTGAATAGATAAAACATGCGAGTTTGGCTTAAATAGCAGCGCTCTTCTTGCCGAATTAGGCAAGCGAAAATTTGTTTATGCAACAATTTCGCAAAAATCATTCTGGAACTATTTTTTATCTAATTAACTTATCAGATGAAATATTAGATAAAAATAATCTGTTGATGAATGGTTCAGAGAACCGACACGTTGATAAATTAGACACATGTGCAACTCTTGGGTATCTTTATTGAATTACACATGTGTCTAATTTATAAAAAATACAACTGCTGCTATAGATTTTGGTCTAAGTTTTGCAACTTCAAAAAAAAAACTTAATAATATTGAAATTGCAAAAGCCTTTTGCAACTTTGAAAAATCTTCTGATTTATTCACTGATGAAATTAATATTAGTAAGGGGATGGTATATAGCTCTATGTTAAAACAAAATATTCCCAATTGCCTTCAAAAATTCTTTAAGTCTTATGATAGACTTATTAATAATAAAAAACTATGCCTTACCAAAGCAAATAAAATAAATGCAATAGTAATTATGAAAGAAAATGATTACCAAGATAAAATGAATAATCTCTTAGATGATACTGGAATCTATTCTAAACTTAGAAAGAATCCCTTAGAAACCATTAAAAGCAATTTCAATAAAGCAATAAAACTTCTACTGAAAGACAAAGATTGGATATATTATATATAAAAATATATATATATAATATATATATAAAATATATAAATATAAAATATTTTATATATAAATATATATAATATATACATTACAATGGAATAGAGTTGTGATGCGCATATACGGCCATGTGTATGTATATGCACATAGTTGAGTGATGTGTATATATAGTCGGAGAGCGAACAAGCTGTGTGGTAGTTAGTGGCTCACTATGTACTTGCTCGTACATTAACGACCGGGGGGGGGGGGGGTTCCTTACTCCGATGAGAAACATTGGACATGTTTCATTATACCTGCTGCCCCTGTTCCTCTAACAGACAGTAGGTACCTGGGTGAGAGGCTCAATTGAACAGGACAAATAGTCTGATGACATCTTGATTCTGTAGAGATTATTTAGTTAGAGGGGTAATAATCCGTGTGGTATGGATATCATGTGTACAATACTATTGATTATTTAATAGATTTAAAGTCTGTCAACTACATCGCCAGTCAAGGATACGTTAATCCTGACAGCAGAATGAAGTATTCTCAGAATATATAAGTGATATGCACCTTGGTTGTACATAACTTGTTCTAAGGTTATATATTCTAATGAAGGTATATAGCCACATAATTTAAGTTTACTTAGACACAGGTACTCATAAGTACAATTATCATGCAGTGTAAATTACTTAGGATAATCCCCCCCCAAAAGAAGTCAGTGACTGGTTTCCATTCTGATATATATATAGCCGATGGATGACTTGGCTGTATGGTATGACTGTATAGCAGATTTCTGAGTGTATATTGCCATATAGTAAGAGTGCGTACACCATGCAGTGGGCCAGCACTCACTGTTTACTATCACCAGTGTGAACCCATCACACAGCATCCTGACCAAAGCTGCCTGGCGTTACCATGGTAACTGTACACAGTGGAGATGTGGCAGCACTGAGGCTGGTCACGTGACCCGGTTCCACCAATCGCCGTGGGAGATTTCAAAATTCTGTCTGCCTTTGTCATAACGTACGACTGAGTGTGTGCGAGAACCAATGTTTCTGAGAGCAGTGTGTCGTGTGTGTATTTATTTTGCTAATTTAAGTGGAATATTCACGTTTATACACTCCAAATCAATGAGGAATACATAGAGGTAAGTGGCGCAGTTGGAAATTTCTGGAGGTTTTGGCATGTGTTTCTGTACTTCTCGCAGGAATTGGGAAAATAGTAGAGCCCCACGTTTGAAGGGATCGTTCCTGGGCGCACGATCGAGTTTACCGGCGACTCGAGGAGATTTAAATTAAAAGATTGGGGCTCCTGTGGCGGGAATTTGCTCATAATACCCTGAGAATCTCCTGAATCCGTGAGCTGAAGCTGTGGGAGGTGTAGGCAGTCTCCCCTGTGCAGAAATTAGAGTAGCTGTGAATTACGCGGGAAACGAGCAGAGGGAAACATGGGTCGCGAGGTGTTGGTCTGCCTGACAGGCCATTTAAATCCCGGGTGGCTAGCGCGGGATTTCTCGAACTGGCCAGGCACTGCGGCCTACTTGCACACGGCCACAAGCCCATGGTAATTTTGGTGACTAATAGCGAGACAAATTTAATACTAAATCATGCCATGAAAGAGGTGTGTGAAAAGATAAGTCTTTAGAAACATTGTTGTCACAATCACGTGGGATTGTCTATATATATAACTTTAGTTTGTAATATATACCATTAGCTAGCAATGCCCAGAAGCTCTTAAGAGTTTGAAATGGATTGATCTACTTGTATCCGTTTGTATTATGTCTATTGTATGTTACGTAATATTCCTGCTAATCTCCAACATGGGGTCTTTTTGTTGAAATGGCCGAAGTTTCAGTAACTGTATTTGCTTGGCTTTAACAGAACATTACCAGTTCATAGTTCGTTCACCATTTAAGGTTTAATTTTTAATAAATCACCGGTTAATTGCAATTGCAGGGTAATATTGAGCTAGGCGACTCCAGTGAATTTTTTCATTCAGTATCATAAGCAATCTATCCATAATCAGGCAAAAATAGTTATTTCCTATGCATATTTTTTTGGTGGGGAGATGTTTGCAACAAAATTCTTATGGGCAATAAAATGCAATAGATTTACTGGCAGGCCAGTTAGCATCCATAATTGTTTGTGAAGTAAATGGTTCCAATTCTGCCACCACCCAAACAGTGTTTCCTTAGTGTGCATTGGATTTGGTTAGTCTGGTTGCAGTAGTAAAATAAGGGTCTCTCTTAAATACCTCAAGAGACAAAAATACCCAGTCTTTTTTTTTTTTTTTCTAGTTTGTACAAAATATTATTCCATTGCATAAACCAATCAGTATTATATGCTTGCATTATAAATTTTTGCAAAGCTCAATGTATCTCTTCTTCAATATTTACTAGACAGCAATAGGTATATTGGCTAATGTGAAGCAGTTATTAATTTTAAATTGTGCTTTATATTTAATTTACAAATTGTATAGCTTTATTTTGCTATAACTTTTACACATCACTACAATTATGCTGAATTATTACTTGCTATAATTTTGTTTATCAAAATTTGAGTTTCTTCTTGTTTTTAACATTTTCATAATTTTGTTCCTTTGTGTATTATTTTACTTTAATACTGGCCATTTTGCTCTGCTTTTCAAGATATAATTTCAGTGCTCAATCTATTTCTAAATTCTCAAATTAAAGAATAATTTAATCATTACTGTGCTTTAAAAATAGACATTACTTGCTCAAACTTAAGCACATAAAATTGAAGGAACACTGCACTAGGCCTATTGGTCCATACAGACAGGCTCAACTTGCAAGTCCATTATGTCAGAGGGGGCAGGGGGGAGGTGAGTAAAAGTTGTAATAATGGTAGTATTAAATTATTGTACACTTGTATGCTGCAGAACACACTTCATATTACTTCATTCCTTATTCTCGCCCAGCTATTCTCATTCATGTACTGTTTCTTATTTTTAGAGTTGCAGGCATTTTATTTGGTGATGCTAGTCTGCAGTGTTTTTTTTTTTATATAGGTATACAGTAAAGTTAGTTTTCAAATTGCCCATGTCAAGCAGCAGGCTCTGTGATGTTAAAATAAGATGTACATTGTCCAACAAATTTTAGGTTTATTATAGGTTGTTAGTGCTTACCAATAATTTTACTGAATTTTTGAATGGGAGTAAGTTTACTCAGGTACAGTACACCATAAATAGTTACATAGATTATCATGCATAGCAGCATATGTGTAGATTGCTTAGGATAACCCAAAAAAAAAAAACTTGGTGACTTATTTCCATTGGAGAACTTATTGCCATTTGGGAAAAGATTGACTTCTAACTGTTTAATAGCTTGGTATTGTCAGTGAATCACTAGCATTGTTTTGACCAACATTCTGCATTCGCTAATATACTTTACCCAGGAACAGATATGCTAATATTTTATATTGTAAATATAAATGTTATCTGTTCTACAGGAAATTTATTTTTTCAAAGTGTAAATATTTCCCCATTATCACTTAATATAAATTCTTTATGGTAATAAAAAAATAGGATATTTTTTTTTTACAATTTAATAACACCTCAACTTAGCCTAAACTAGACCAACTGTAAAATTGTCACTTAGGTTGGGTAACTTAGTTACACAGAAGATGTTCCAGGGGTTAATGCCCTGTGGCCTCTTAATATTTAAAATGCATCTTTTCCCAAAGGCACTGATATGTGCATCTCGCTTATACAATGTACTTTTTAATGTAAATTATGGAACTTATGGATTCATTCTTCTTTTCTCTGTGCAGCCTAAGCCAGTCTATATTATTTTAAGACTAAGTGGGCTGTGTATTGTATAAAAATGGGTTTAAGTTATGTTCTAGTTTTGTTACCAAATTTTTTTTTATACCATAGACCCAAAATGTACCTATTTTCTTTGTGACCTATATTAGAATATATATAATAAGAAATGGCTTCCTCTTCGTATTAGCAAAAACTCTCATGAAAGTTAGGAGTAAGTAACATTTGGTTTGCTAGCTCTACTGTATGAGGTCATATCAAGACAACCTTGAAAAGTTTTAATAGGTGAAGTTTTATTCACAATTCAACAAAATGCTAGTGACTTCACAAATGTTGCTGAACTACCAGAAGTCTCCAGTATCTCCCTGCAGAGAATTCTCCCTTATAAAGATATAGTAAAACTGTTAACAGTTACTAATTAAATCTAACCTAAATTATGTTGGATAACTTATTAAATTTTAACTTCACGAAACCTGCTGCATAGATAACTCGCCAGTATTGGTTATCAGAAAGTTGATTTCCCCAGAGTATTTTCAATATTCCTAGAAGAGAGATGTATATGGAGTGTGAAAGATAGTTAAGAGGAAACTTGACAAATACCTCTGCCATGTGCTGGATTAACCAGTCGGTGATGGATATGTAGGCCAGTTAGCTGCTAGCAGCAATAGCTCAGTTGACCAGGCAATCGCCAGACTTGCCTGACCTAATGCCAGGCTGCAGCTAAAAATTTTCAAAAGATACAACCCACTTCCAGGACTTTACTAAGCAGTTTCCCCTGAATCCCTTCATAAATTCCCCCTCACACTCCCAAAGCGCTTTGAATCCTTAAAATCGCTGGTCTCCACTCAAGGTTCACACATTACTGCTTGCACTTGCTGCTAGATCCTTTACCACTAAATAGACCTTCACATCCTCCCCTCAAACCCTTCATGAGATGACTGTTTTCTTCCACCCCAGATTTATAAATCTTCTTGGTCATCCTTTTGCACTCCATTCTTTGGAATGTCTAAGTCTATCATCCCCAATGTTGTTATCCTCACCCCTTCAGATATGCATTGCATCCGAAGGATGCAATGCATATCTATCCTTTGGATGCATTCCGTGTTTGCCATATTCTTTACCCTGTTAAGGAATGGGTTACACTACCAGGCAGTGTGTGATAAGCATTATATAAAATTGACTTTAAAACATTAGGACTTTTATTTATTCTTGATATGAAGTAGAGATTTCAATAAGCTTTATTGTGACTCATCATGAACTGTTCTCTTGGTTTATAATGGATTGCTAAAACCCCTTGCACTCCTTTAGAACCTTTTGAAAACAGCTTATCAGGATCCATTCACTTATTTGGTTTTAATCTATCTACTTGTCTGCTGTTTGAGGTGATCTTGAAAAAAAAAAATGCATTCTGACCCATTATAATTATTTATCACTGGGATTTTATTGGTATCTTTTTTTTTTTTTTTTTTCTTTAAAAAGTACATATTTCTTTGGCACTAGCAGTAAACTGACCCAAGTTATTTAAGTAGGTCAGTCTTCTCTAATTTTTTTCTGTATGGCAGAAAGAAATGGTCTGATTCCCTTGCCTTGTTATTTTTTTTTTTTTTTTTTTTCCTTCTTCCAATACTATTGGTTCTTAACTCTGAGGGTCAACAGGCCCTCTCCGAGACTTGTTCTCAGGGTCGGCCAAATTTAAAAAAAAAAAAAAAATTCTTATGGAAAGTTTTTTTGCATAAAGAAAAAAAGTATAATTTTATGGAAAAAAATTGTTTTAAGGGGGCTTCTTTTTTTTAAATTAATTGGAAAAATCAATTTGCTCTTTAAAGTTTTTCCCCGGGAAATGTTTACACATTCGATTTGGGCCCACCTTGAGCCCATTTTCCCAAAATCCACTTTTTAAGTCGCCAAAAATAATTTTTTTTCCTAGAATCCATTTTTTTTTAAAAGGGGGGAAAAAAACCCCCTTTTCTTTAAAATAAAAAAAGGGGCCAAAAGCTTTTCCCCCATTTACCAAATTTCAAGAGCCAATTTCCGAATGGGCCCAAAATAAACAGAATTTTCCTGGCCAAAATGCTTTCCACGTGTTTAGCCCCAACCCCCTCTTTAAATTCTTTTTTTTCCACTTTGAATTTTTTTTTTAAAAAAAAAGTTTAACCTGACCAGATTCATTTTGGTTTAAATAATATCTTTTCCTTTTAAAATTTTAACTTCCGTTGAGGATTGGATTTGGAGTTTTTTTTTTTTTTTTTTTAAAAAAAATTTTTTTTATATTTTTTTTTTTTTTTTTGTTTTTTTTTTTTATTTTAAATTTCCCTTTTTTAATCTTTTTTTTTTTTTTTTTTTTTTTTTTTTTTTTAATTTTTTTTATTAATTAAATTTTTTTTTTTTTTTTTTTTTTTTGGGGTTTTTTTTTTTTTTTTTTTTTTTTTTTTTTTTTTTTTTTTTTTTTTTTTTTTTTTTTTTTTTTTTTTTTTTTTTTTTTTTTTGGGTTTTTTTTTTTTTTTTTTTTTTTTTTTTTTTTTTTATTTTTTTTTTTTATTACCTCTGCTGAAAATTTCTGCATTAACTCTAGCTTCCGGGCTTTCCCCTAGCCCAAAGGTTTTCACTTTTTTTCTCTCTATTTATACTATTTTTATGCAGAGCAAGGTATCTTGTCAGTTTAAAATTTTTTAATTTTTCATTATTTTAACTATTTTATTTTTTCCCTTACTTTGAAAAAATATTCTAAATTTCTTTTATTTTTTTTCCCTTTTATATATTATTTTTTTATTTAACCCCGGGCCGATTCCCCCCCAAGGGCGGGGTGGCCCGAAAAAGAAAAACTTCACCCATTAAATCCT